TAGCTGTCCAGACTTCCCAGGCTTACTCAGGCAGTTGTGTGTTTGAAATGTAATGATGTCCCTTTCTTGTCTTAATATTTTACGTTTATGCCGTGGTACATGTATGAAGATCAGGGGACCTGGTCCTGGAGTCTACCCTTTCTTTCCACCACATGGGTTTCGAGGATAAAATGCAAGTTGTCAAGCTGAGGGCCAAGTACCCTCACCTGCAGCGCCATTTTGCAGGTCTTTTTGGTTGCCTAGAATTCCGTGTGCACCTCGCTTTGCCCTCTGGAGGGCTGAGGCTACAGATACAATCAGCTGTGTGTCAGTAGGGCCAGCTTTTGCTGTTTTTATGGTGCTGCTGCTGCTGCTTAGGGCCCAGCGCATGCTGGACAAGCCATGTACCACAGAGCCACCCCCACCCCTGTGCGGAGGACTCATTCCTCGGGTGCCTTGTATGTTTGTCCAGATCCCCCACCAGTCACGTGCGACGAGGAACAGGTTGCTAGAAAATTCTTCAGGGCTCGGTGAGATGCCTCCATGCCCACCCACGAGACCACCGCTCAGGCAGCCCCCAGAAGAGGTCAAGGGGGAGGGACTTAGTACGCGTGGGGGTGTGAGGCTCCGGGTGGATATGGGCCCTCAGCAGCAGCTTGTGTGAAGCTGGAGCCGAGGGCTCAAGGAGGGGAACTCGCTCAGCCTGGGATGATTTGTCATTGCCTAATGAGATTAATGAGCCCTAGGGGCTGGTATGCAGCGGGTGCTGGGGTACTCATTAGAAGCAGATGCTCATGGGAATGGGCTGTTCACTGGCCAGGTGGTTTCCATTAATCTGTGGGCGGGGCCCAGGGTGAGGCCTGGGGCTCTTCTTGTCTCTCCTTTCCATTCTCGTTCCCACTAACGCCAACACCACCGGGGAGGAAGGACACTTCGAAGCTGTCCTGGACTCCAAGACAGCTGAAGCCTTGACGGGGTGGCTTACAAGCTCAGGGACAGCCCCTCTTGTTTGCCCTGGTCAGCCTAAGTGCCTGGCACAGTGTATGTGCTCAATAAATATCGGTAGAATGGTGTCTGGGGTAGAAGTCCTGGGAGGTGGGAAGGTGAGAGTGTGGGGCCATAAAGGATGTCCTTGGCCACAGGATCCCTTCTTTTCTTCCAGCCTCTCTACCTACAGGGGTGTTCTGGCCAGTTTTGCAGCCAGCCTGCACTTTCTAGTTGAACTCTGGAAACCTTGAAGGGCTGAGGGCAAGTTGCTGTGTGGCCAGCAAACCTATAATTTGGTTTTCAGACCTACAAGCAGGGAGGTCTGTGGGGGGGTAGGAGGAGCCAGTTCTGCGCAACCCTGCTCGGCCTGACTGTGTGTGAGCATATACACACACACACAGTCACGTCAGCTCACACTCTTAACAAATCTAACATGACGTAATTTATGCCACCCATTGAAAGGGCACCGGCCAGTGGGCTTTGGTATATTTCAGAAACCTGTGTGATCACCACTCTCTAATTTTAGAACATTTTCATCATCCACAAAAGAAACCTTGAATCATTAGCTGTCACTCCCCATTCCTCTAGCAGCCCTAAGTCACCACTAATCTGCTTCCTGACTTTATGGATTTGCCTGTTAGGAACATTTCATATAAATAGAATTATATAATATGTAGTCTTCTATAACTAGGTCCTTCTAGCCAGGGTAACATTTTCCAGGGTCATCCATGCTTTAACACGCATCAGCACTTCATTCCTCTTTGTGGGCAAATAGTAGATCGCTCATGGACTGAACACACTATGTTTTAAGTCTTTTACTCATGTGTGCATTGATGGAGGTTTAGGTACTTTTCTCTTTTAGGCTACTGTGATTGAATTCTTTTGGAAACCTTTGCCCTGTGGGCTTTTTGTTTCACTTTGGCTTCCCCTGCTGTTTATTTCTTTGAGGCAGGTTCTGGATCTGTAGTCTAGGCTGGCCTCCAACGCCTAGCCTCCTGCTTCAGCCTCACTGCCTCGGCTAGCCTTGATCTTCTCTTCCTGCCATACTCATGCATGCAGGTTCGGGGGTTCTGTTCTCCCAAGATTGGCACAGGGTGTGGCTGCCCTGGGAAGTCTCCCTCCATTTCTGCTCTCAGGAGCCCCTTCTTTCATGCTGGCACCCACAGCGGGGAGAAGGGTGTGTCTAGAGTCAAGGGAACTCGGTATGAGCAAGGTTGGGTCAAAGGCAATGGGGATGTGGACACTCCATCAACACAGTGCCTCTTTCCCAGGTTCCATATACAGCAGAGCTCTGTGGGAGCAGAAGGGAGTCATAGAGTCCATATTCTAGAAACAGCTTTGGTTTGTAACCTCAGCTAATTAATGGAGAACCAGTTTAGATTAATCTGGAGCAAGAGTCTTTTTTCTTTTCTTTTCTTTTTTTAACAGGGTCTCACTGTGTAGTTTAGGCTAGCCTTGAACTCACTTGTCTGTACCTCCTGAGGGCTGGGATTAAAAGCATGCGCCACCATACCTGGAGCGGACTGTCTGTGTGTTTGGTCCCTACCCCCCTTTGTGGAATGGAACTTGGGGCCTTGCACACATTGAGGCAAGTTCTCTCCCACTAAAGCCCCAGCCCTAGTTCTTTGGAGCAAGGGTTCTTAGCTGGGATTCCACAGCCCACCAAGACTCTGTGTCCAATGTTAGGTGTAGAACATTCTTCTGGGGTGGGAGTCCAGGCCCTCACCAGCTTTTCCCAGGAATATGCTAAACAGGAAGGGCTCCAAACAGTCATTTGACAAAAGCCTTGGATTTCTAGACTATGCAGGTCCTAGGGTGGCATTTCCTCCTGTCCCTGGGGAGTACAGCCCTGAGCCACTTTTCCTTATTCGGGGACCGGGAGACCTGGGCTGTCCATAGGCGCAAAGAGTTGTCAGGGTCTGACCCGAGGAGCAGTCCTTGGCCTGTGCCCCCGCCCCCAGACCTGGTATCCCAGGACTGGCCCACCCCCTAGAAAACTCACTCCCAAGAGACCATCTTGGTCACCCCCTGAGCCTCCCTTGAGGAAAGGGGGAGGAATGCCTATTCCCGTGGAAGCTGCCCTGGAGAGAGAGGGCCTCCAGTGTCTCAGCTGCTGGAAACAGGGCAGAGAGAGGGGCTGGGGCCCCACGGCTGCCTTGCTCCCATCTGCAGAGCATCAGTGGGGGCAGGCGGGTGGGGTTCACGGAGGGGCGGGTGTGCGGGGAGGAAATGAGAATAAACACAAGCGAGCAGAGAGGGAAGGGGCGGGGGGCTGCCGCCTCAGCCCCTTGGCAGCCCATGAAGGGAAGTGACACAATGAGAAATGTGTTTCCCTCGGCCCGCCCCTGCGCATGGGGGTGGGAGGCAGAGCTCTGAGAATGGCCAGACCCCAGCAGAGGCCAGGGGGCACATGCTGGATCCACAGAGGAGGGTGGGATGAAAGGGTGGAGCCTGACGGCCGAAAGGGGGCTGCGCAGGAAGGGCAGTCCTGGGCAGGGGGACTTACTCTGCCCTCTGGTCTTGCCATGCAGGCAACCTAGGGCTAGGCCAGGCCCTGCAGCATTCCCTGCATGTGCCCAGCACGGAGGGGCACCTTCCCAGAACTCTACCTTTCTCTAAAGCAGAGTCCTGAGGCTGGCTTTCCTTTCTGTCTGGAGGGGACTCACCTTGAAGGAGTCTGGTGTGAGAGGGGCTGAGACAGAGCCTAGTTAAACAGAAGTTTTATCTCTGCCTCTTGTCTCTGTTTCTTTCCCCAACAGGGACTGCACAAACGGGCCCCCTGGTGGGATAGGACAGCACCTCCCCATCCTGGACACCCATTTCCTCTCACCCAGCTCCAGTTAACTCTCTCCTGTCCATAATTCAGAGCAGTCTCCAGGGCCTTTCGTATGCAGACCCAAGCCTCTCTTTGAAACTGGCTGGGATGGTAGAGTCTTGGAAACCAGTTTGACTCCAGATACCTTTGTTAAAGTTCCATCTTCTTCCCCCAGGAGTGGCCCTCCTTCACTCCCTGCTCCCTCCCCCAGCTCTTTTAGGTAGGACCAGACAAGATGACACAACCTTGGTTCTAATCTGTGTTGGCTTACGAAAGACGAGGTTTGATGGAGCCTTGGGTAGGTGGGTCAAGATCTGTAGCCCTCCCTAGCCATAGCATAGAGGATGATGCAGAAGATGAGTGGGCCAGAATCCAGTTTGGCCCTTAGAGCAGAGGCCGGTGTGGTAGGTATTGGGCTGGTGCCATTAGCTAGGCACAAGCATGTCCCCCTAGTTGGGGAACTAGCTGTCGCCTCTGGGGAGGGGAGGGAGGGCCAAGATTTGAACTCCTGCCTCGGTGGTGTTTGAGCCACTGAACAGAGGCTGCTGTGAGACTCACCGGTGGTATGCTACACCATGTGGCGTGGAATGGCCCCCAGAAGCCATTGTCCATCCTGCTGTGATCTGCTCAGCCTGGAGATAGCTTCTTTGCCACCTCCTGACAGCAGTGGGTGGATCAGCTAGCCTCTTGAGGAGGCAGGGCTGGAGACTTTGCCCAGGTTTTATTAGCCCTGGGCCTCATCTGTACCTGTGATTGGCAACCTCAGCTTGGGGCTGTACAAGGGCATAGTGTATTGCTGGCCCACCAGCCTCCCTGCAGGTTTCCTCACAAGCTCCCAAGAGAGATCTGTAGGAATACAATAACTATAAAATTCCCTCTGATGGATAGGTACAGCTACTTTCGGTGGCTTCCCTGAACAGTCCTGTAAGGTCCTAGAGTGGCTCAGGTGACGGAACATGGGAAACCTAGTCTCCTATCTCGTCACCGGAAGCTTTCTCCACTCCTTGTCCCTTTCTGGCCATCCAAAGCCTCCTGTACCATCTTAGATAAGTTGACATAAAACACAGCTCTGGTCCCAAAGGGAGTAAAAGGTAGTTCATTCTGAGCCACAGGTGAGTGACCGTGACCTCGGAATGGATTCAGCTTGCTCCGCATTACGTGTTCCACCACGGAAGAGGCGACATGAACCTGATAGCCCCAGAACAAAGAAATCCATAAATCAGTGCAAATATTTACCAAATCTATGAAAAGAGTAGGTAGGCATTACAGCGAAGTGGAGAAATCAGCTCTCCTGGAGACTTGCTATCTGAGGACATTCTTAGCTTTGGGGTTGAGGAAGCTGGTTATCTGCTAAGTTACAAAGGTCTTAGCTGACAGTCCGGAGGATGTTGGGCTGGATACAAAGGTAGGGGCTAAGGGGCTATTAAGCGAACTAAAGATAGCCCGAGATAATTGTGGCTTGGCTTTCCATTTGCAACACGACAACTCTCCGTATCATTAGGCAAGTGAACCCTGAGTTAGTCCACTGCATCTTCAACCCAGATTTGTTCTTTTTCACAGGACTTGAGCTTGCATATATTTCTCTCACCAGTACTTCTTGTCGGTGGCCAGAGAAGCTGAAGGGAGCTGTTGGGTGGGTGTGTAGGAAAGCCGACTTAGAAGGGAATCAAGCTCCACAGAAAACCAGCACCCGCCCATAGTGACAGAATGCCCCCACCCAAGGAGCAGGGTAGCCCTCAGGCAGAAGTGCGAAGGTCTCCCCACTCTTCCCACAGGGACCTGAGGAACAACGTCATCAGCACTGTGCAGCCTGGAGCCTTCCTAGGTCTGGGAGAGCTGAAACGCTTGTGAGTGGCATGTCCTGCCCACCCCACCCCCAGCTCTCTCTTTAACCCCCCCCCCCCCCCCCCCGCCAAATTTCCCAGATACCATGAGCAACTACCCCAACTAGCCACCCTGCCCTGTCCCTTCTCAGACACCAAGCCTCTACTCAGTCCATCGACTGGGGCCAGTTGTTGGGGGCTTGTTTCCAGCTTGCTGTGGCAGAGGGCCCAAGCGTACTGCCCACATCATCTCCAGCTGAATGTCTCTCTCAGAAGTGAATCTTCGACCTGTTGTATAGTGGACTTGCTGAGTGTGTCTCCCTCTCTCTAGAGATCTCTCCAACAACCGGATTGGCTGTCTTGCCTCTGAGACATTTCAAGGCCTCCCCAGACTTCTGAGACTGTGAGTAATAGATAGGTTTCTGAGAGAGAGAGAGAGAGAGAGAGAGAGAGAGAGAGAGAGAGAGAGAGAGAGAAGTGGGGAGGGGGAGGGGAAGGCTTGGGAGGAAGAAGGCTGAGCCAGACCCTTCCGGTACCCTGCATTTTCTCCTTCCAGGGCTCTACCCTCCTGGCCCAGGGAGACCCTAAGATCTCATCTCACTCTTCCCTGCCCTCTGCAGAAACATATCTGGGAACATCTTCTCCAGTCTGCAGCCTGGGGTCTTTGATGAGCTGCCAGCTCTTAAGGTTGTGTGAGTATCTTTCCCAGCACAGGAGCAATCCCCTGGTCCCTTCCTCCACCCAGGAGGGAGGACACCCTGGACCTAGGGGACTCTGAAGCCCAAACCTCAGCCCTCCCCTCACTCCAAGAGAAACTCCCAGATCCTCTGAGCCACCTTACCTACCTGACACTCCACACTGTCCCTCCTCAAACTCCCATTTTCCACTCAGCACTTTGGACTGGGGCCATTTCTAGCCCTGAGGGGCATGCATCATGCCTGCTGAGTGGGCAGACGGCCAGGAATGCCCCCAAGTTAATCATGTCCCGAGTAGCAGGGCACGCGTGTGCCGAGGTTGTCTTCTCCGCCCCGTTCCTCCTTAGTTTCACCCCCACCCCGTGAGCCCACACTGTTCCTTGTACCCGCCCTGCAGGGACTTGGGCACCGAGTTTCTGACCTGCGACTGCCACCTGCACTGGCTGCTGCCCTGGGCCCGGAATCACTCTGTGCAGCTGTCAGAGCGTACGCTTTGTGCCTACCCCAGTGCCCTGCATGCTCGGAGCCCTGAGCAGCCTCCAGGAGCCCCAGCTCCGCTGTGGTGAGAAACCTGTCCCAGGCCCCCAACGAGCCAGCCCCTCAGCCACACACAGCTTGCTAGGTCAGACCTCTCTGGGCCCCGTGTATTATATGATGGACGTGTTTTCCAGGTCTCTCTCTTTCCCCTAGTTCCATGGGGTGGTCCTCCACCAGCATGCCTAGACCTCTTGTAGGACTACTTGCTTGTCTATATTTTCTTTTTTTTTTTTTTGCTCCAGTATGTTTACTTATTTATTTCACATCCCCAACACAGTTTCCCCTCCTTCCTGCTTGTTTTATATTTTCATCTGGTCTCCGCTTGTATACTCCTCTGTTTTCCTCTTATCTAAAAGGATTCTTTATGGTCCCTTTCACTCCCAACCAGAGATCACTAGAGGCAGAGGGTCTGGACCTGCCCTGTGGGATTCCACCTTCACCGTGTGCTGCCCTTTAAGTACAGCGAGCTAATGCGTTGCACTACTGGACCACTCTCAGACATGGGCTCACGGGCACGCACTCGCATGCACTCAGGCCTCATCACTGATGTCTCATCCACAGAAGGGGCTCTGGAACTTCATACGCACTACCTCATCCCGTCCCTGCGCCAAGTGGTGTTCCAGGGCGACCGTCTGCCCTTCCAGTGCTCTGCCAGCTACTTGGGCAATGATACCCGCATCCACTGGTACCACAACGGGGCCCCTATGGAGGGTGATGAGCAGGCAGGCATCGTCCTCGCAGAAAACCTCATCCATGACTGCACCTTCATCACCAGGTACAGGCTGTGTGGTCTCTTTTTGGTCTAGGGCATGGGGAGGGGTAGCCGTGGTTGACATGGTCCTGGGAGACAGGGCAGGCAGGGGGATGGGGAGAGAGGGAGAGAGAGGGAGAGAGAGGGAGAGAGGGAGAGAGGGAGAGAGGGAGAGAGGGAGAGAGAGAGAGAGAGAGAGAGAGAGAGAGAGAGAGAGATTATAAAGAGCTAAGATACAATCATAAATGGTCTGAATAGAGGTTAGAATTAAAGCCCCCCCCACCCCAAATAGCAAATGCTTGTTAAAACGAGGCTAGTGCTTGTTAAAACGAGGCTAGGTGGCGTTTGTTACTCCTTCTACAATGCCTACAGTGCCCCTCCAATCAGAAGAAAAAGAGTACGTGTGCAAATCTAGTTCTTACTCGGTTAAAAGAAGAACCCGAGCTAGCGTCCCAGAACAGGGCATAGGTAGATGGGCTGTAGGGGGTGGGGGGCATGGAGGGGAGGGCTGGGCTGGGCCTGAGTGCTCAGCAAAGGTCGCAGTTTGCTTCCTATTGCTGTGATAAACACCCCGTCCAAAAGCAACTTGGGGAGGAAAGGAAGGGAAGCCAGGGCAGGAACTCAAGCAGGGTAGGAACCTGGAGTCAGGAGCTGAAGCAGAGAGGAACAGTGTTCACTGACTTGCTCCCTATGCGCACCCTGCTTTCTTAAACTGCCCTGGACCACTCGCTCAGGAGTGGCCCCGCCCACAGTGGGCGGGGCTCTCTCACACCCAACAGAAATCAAGAAAATGCTCCCAACAGCCTTGCCCACAGGCCACTGTGATTGACAGAGGCATTTTCTCAGTTGAGGCTCCATCTTCCCGGTTGACCCTAGCTTGTTGAGTCAAGTTGACGAGAAAAACTATCTAGTGCACCAAGCCGGTTCCCCCCACCTCTCCCCCCCGCAGTGAGCTGACCCTGTCTCACATCGGCGTGTGGGCCTCAGGGGAGTGGGAGTGCTCCGTGTCCACGGGCCAAGGCAACACCAGCAAGAAGGTGGAGATTGTGGTGCTGGAGACCTCCGCCTCCTACTGCCCCGCTGAGCGTGTGACCAACAACCGCGGGGACTTCAGGTTGTCTGCTTTATAAATGGCTGCCCCCCGCCCCCGCCCCGGCATCTGCACCCTCCCTCTGAGAGCATAAGTGACTAGGGCCTCCCATTTGCCTTCTTCCTCAAGTCCCAAGGACTGCCTTTTCTTATTTAGCTCACAATCCTGCTGTTAGCCCTCAAGAGGATGACCATCTTTTAATTGCTTCCTCCCACTTTAGTATGCAGAAGGTTTCTCCAAACAGTGTCACATCTTAAACGTTCCAAAGGCCCTATCTGTATGAAGGGCAGGTAGGTATTATTCTCCATAGTGTAGATCTGAGAATGCCAAAGCCCAGAAAAGATCAGCGACGCGTCCAATAAACGGCAGAGCTTGTCCGTGAACCCAGATCCCTGCGTTGTACCCCTATATATTGTCTACAGTATCATTGTGAGAACAAACAGAGAAAGCAGAACTTGAGAACCCCACGATGGCTGCCAGGACAGTCTTGACTGAACCCTTCACCAAGCCTCCAGGGGTCTGGTGTCATAGTCCTGGGTTGAGGTTGGGAGGGGATGGCATTTGTCTGAAGGAGTCTTGGTCATGGCAGCTTCCTCCATCTACTTCTAGGTGGCCACGAACCTTGGCCGGCATCACGGCTTACCAGTCTTGCTTACAGTACCCCTTCACCTCTGTGCCTTTGAGTGGGGGAGCCCCAGGTACCCGAGCCTCACGCCGGTGTGACCGAGCTGGCCGCTGGGAGCCCGGGGACTACTCCCACTGTCTGTACACCAATGACATCACTCGGGTGCTCTACACCTTTGTGCTGGTGAGGCTGGGGCACCTCCCCCCCCAACTTTGATTCCTGGAATTGGCTGGGATGGAGCCTGATACCTCATGGGGGGAGGCTGCACCTCTGTTCTCAAGGGTGCATTAAAAGGGGGTACAGCTGCCAGGCATGGTGGTGCACACCTTTTAGGAAGCAGAGGCAGGTGGGTGTGGGTGAGTTCAAGGCCAGTCTGGTCTATGTAGTAAGTTCCAGGACAGCCAGAGTTACATAGTGAGACCCTGTCTCAAAAATAGATGGATGGATAGATAGATAGATAGATAGATAGATAGATAGATAGATAGATAGATAGATAAAAGTGGGTATAGCAAGGGCCATGGGCTGGCACCCTTTCCCCTGGTGCTGTCCTCCAGCTTGTCTTTTCCAGGAGCCAGGCCTATACCTTACTCTATCTGCTCCATCCACCATCACAGTGATTTATACCTTCATCACCCTTGGGATATAATGATGCTTAGCTTGAGTGTCCCTAGAATTGTGTTGAGAGGGACTCATTGTGCACTTTTGATCTTGATGGTCTCCGTAGATGGTCTTGGCTCCTCTCCTGCCCTGTGGCCCTAGGTTCTGAGACAGAAGGAAGCCAGCCTGACCTTCTTTTCCCCCAATGCCCCCAGATGCCCATCAACGCCTCCAATGCGTTGACCCTGGCCCACCAGCTCCGGGTGTACACGGCTGAGGCTGCCAGCTTTTCAGACATGATGGATGTAGTCTATGTGGCTCAGATGATCCAGAAATTTTTGGGTTATGTTGACCAGATCAAAGAGGTGAGATTCAACTTCTCTTCTGCCCCCCACCCCCCCCCCCCCGAAGCCATCCTCCCATCATCTCAGGCCTCATACACACCAGCCCTGGGTCCTAAATACCACTGCTGCCCTCAGTGACTGCCCTGCCTCCCTCCCTCCCTCAGCTGGTGGAGGTGATGGTGGACATGGCCAGCAACCTGATGCTGGTGGATGAGCACCTTTTGTGGCTGGCACAGCGAGAAGATAAAGCCTGCAGCGGCATTGTGGGTGCCCTGGAGCGCATTGGAGGAGCTGCCCTCAGCCCCCATGCCCAGCACATCTCTGTGGTACTGTAGCTTGGCGTGGGAGGGGGATTCTTCAGGGGCTAGCACTGGGTGGAGGGGCCTGAGAGTGGACTGGGGCCAGTTTTTGTGATTCTTAGTGCTTGCCTCTCTCCGGGACACATATCAGGCTCTGGTAACATGGTGGCAAGCACAACTCAGCTGTGAACTGTCAGGGAGATGCAAAGGTAGCTGCGATCCACACTGTGGTGTGAGCCTTTGTGGTTGGGAACTGAGTTGGGGGGTTAAGCGGATGGAAGTAAAGAGGAGCAGACTGGGATTGAGTGCAGGGAAAAGGGAGGCTTTGTCTCAGTGTGGACAGCACTTTCAATGGAATGGGGGGTGTTGGAAAGGTCACCGAGGGGCCGGTGACATTTCTAAGCTGTTAGAATGTACAACCATAGTAGAGCATTATGGGTAAGACATTGTGCTAGATACTCGGGGACATATGGGGGGGGCGGAGACGGTCATAGACATGGATCCTGCTTGACAGCTGAGGTGGGGCAGCATAATCAGCAGGTGGAAGATAGGGAGTGTATGAGAGCAATAATATCTCCAAGGGAAGGAGAAGACCTGTGTCTGCGTGTGGGTGACCCCATGGCATATGTAAGACTTTCCATGCTTTGAAAAGACAGTGAGCCATAAAGGGTAAGGGGCGTGGCTGAAGCAGACCTGAAGCGCGGACCTGTGTGGTCTTGGGCAGAGGGCCACTATATCTCAAATATTGGGTGACAAGTTCTCCGTCCCTAGAACTCAAGGAACGTGGCCTTGGAGGCCTACCTCATCAAGCCTCACAGCTATGTGGGCCTGACCTGCACGGCCTTCCAGAGGAGGGAGGCAGGCCTGTTGGCTGCACAGCCAGGTGGCCCTGGCCAGAATGTCCCACTGGAGCCCGAGCCCCTAGCCGATCAGCAGCTCCGCTTCCGCTGCACCACTGGGAGACCCAACATTTCTCTATCATCCTTCCACATCAAGGTGGGCACCAGGGGAAGGGGAGGGGGGTGGGGGTGGGGGACCAGAAGCTGAGGAGGGTGGTGCTGAGATACACAGGTGTCTCCCGGTGGAGGGGGGGTGTGAAGGAGGTAAAAGGTGGGAGGAGGGACAAGGCAGGAGACAGGAAGGGACTGGGAGACATCAAAACCCAGGGATGCTGAGTATCTCTGAGGACTTCCTATGTCCCCTCAGAATAGCGTGGCCCTGGCCTCCATCCAGCTGCCCCCCAGCCTGTTCTCAACCCTTCCGGCTGCCCTGGCTCCCCCAGTCCCTCCAGATTGCACCCTGCAACTGCTGGTCTTCAGAAATGGCCGTCTTTTCCGCAGCCATGGCAACACTTCCCGTCCTGGAGCAGCTGGGCCTGGCAAGAGGCGTGGTGTGGCCACCCCGGTCATATTTGCAGGAACCAGTAAGGGACTCACTTCCTGTATGTCTGTCTTGCTCCTTGCTCCTATCTGTGGCTCCCTCCTGCCCTGGTACAGTTGGCAGAGGATAGCAGAGACCTCAGAGTGTCTCAAGGAGGGTGGGAGTGCAGATGGCCTGTGAAGGAAGGGACTGGTGGAGAACAGGATTTGGGGTACGTGGTTTTACATCCCAGACAGAGGACAATTTTATATCCTAAGCATATGACATATCAGAAAGCTTGTGAGCACAAAGCCTTAATCCCTTCCCTTCATGCCAGACCCCACCCTTGGGCCCAGGCTGGTAGGCCATACTGCATGAGCACTACCTTTGTTGTTATAAGGAGGAAAACATGAAGGCCATGGCCTGCCCCACAATGGCTGCTGCCTCCCGAGTAGTGGAATACTTGAATAACACCCCCCAGAGCTACCCCAGCCAGAGGCGCCTAAGACTGCTAGGCCAGCAGCTCTGGAGAGAAGTGTCCTAAAAGACAAGACAGCTGTGGCATTGGGATCAGCGGTGGGACTGGCACAGTAAATCCCAAGAGGTAGTTAGGACTTCTAGACACAGCATCGAGGGTAGAGACCAGAGCAGGAAAGAAGGTTACGCTGTCTTGTCTGTGGTCTGGTCCCCAGGAGCTGAGTGGATCATTGTAACCCTGTCCTTGGTTGGTCTGTCCCATCAGGAACAGTTCTCCCTACTACCTGCCCACACGTATCTTTCTGAATCCCTCTTTCCTTCTACCTTCCAAACTCTGGGCTTGCTCACCAGGCAATCTCTATCTACAGTAGGATCCACATTGTATATCCCAGAAATAGAACACCCAGTTTAACTTCTGAAAATACCACTGTGCACACCACCAGAGCCCCTTCAAGCATCACTGGTTTATAATATCTACCTTCTTTTACATGCCATGCAGGGTCCTGTGTGCCATGAAGGTGTTGCCGTCACTACCCTGGGCTCCTTTCCTGTTCCTAAAATGAGCTCTTTCCAGTCTGGGTGGGAACGCTTGTTAAGGACTTAGCGTGTCAGTCTCTGCTGGGCCGAGATATGCTTGAACACCAGACAGTTGGGTCCTCGCCCTTAAGAAGAGTGCGCACCTCAGCTGACAGGCACTGACCAAGTCATTAGACGTGAGAGGCAGGGCAAGGTGCCTGGACTGTGGAGTCACGGTGTCATCTGAACCTAGTTAGGGGCCAGGGAGGCCTGCCTTGTAAACCCAAGTCTCTCTGAGACCTGGATGATAGGTCTTCAGAGGAAGGGTCAGTCCATGTTGTCAACCGCATGGGTTAATAACTGTTTTGATGGAGCGATGTGGAGGTAGGGTGGGGGCTGTATGATCCACGTCACAGGCACTTTCTCCCACGTGGCTCTGCTTAATTCCTTCCTCAGGCTTTCTCCTGACCCCATCCATCCCTCTTTCCAGATGCCAACTGTTCCTTCCAGGGATTCCTCCTCACTTGGCTTGTCCCTCCCTCTGGGTTAGCATTGCAGCCAGTGTCCATGCCTCACTGGGCACCTAGGGTGGGGAGGCCTCCCATGGTTTCACCTGTCCCGTCCCGTCCCCACTCCCTGGCTGAGTCTCCCTGGGTAGACTGTCACCTACACCATATCTAGCTCTGTCCCCAGGTCGGCAGGATCCCTGCATGCTCTGACCACCGTGACAATTGCTCTGCTTTGCCACTCACAGCCTCGTGTGACTGTGTGGACCTCCCTGTCCCTGCAGGTGGCTGCGGCGTGGGGAACTTGACCGAGCCAGTGGCTGTTTCACTGCGGCACTGGGCTGAAGGAGCTGACCCCATGGCAGCTTGGTGGAACCAGGAGGGGCCCGGGGGCTGGAGTTCCGAAGGCTGCAGGCTCCGCTTCAGCCAGCCCAATGTCAGCTCGCTGGACTGCCGGCATCTGGGCAACGTGGCTGTGCTCATGGTGTGTAAAATGGGGTGTGTGGGGGCGGGGGGAGTGTGTGTGTGTGTGTGTGTGTGTGTGTGAGAGGGAGGGAGGGAGAGAGAGAGAGAGAGAGAGAGAGAGGGAGGAGGAGTGTGTGTGTGTGTGTGTGTGTGTGTGTGAGTGTGTGTGTGTGTGTGTGAGAGAGAGAGAGAGAGAGAGAGAGAGAGAGAGAGAGAGAGGAGGGAGGAGTGTGTATGTGTGAGAGAGAGAGGAGGGGTGTGTGTGTGTGTGTGTGTGTGTGTGAGAGAGAGAGAGAGAGAGAAGGAGGAGGTGTGTGTGTGTGTGTGTGTGTGTGTGTGTGTGAGAGAGAGAGAGAGAGAGAGAGAGAGAGAGAGAGAGAGAGAGAGAGAGAAGGAGGAGGTGTGTGTGTGTGTGTGTGTGAGAGAGAGAGAGAGGAGGGGGGAGTGTGTGTGTGTGTGTGTGTGTGAGAGAGAGAGAGAGAAAGAGAGAGAGAGAGAAGGAGGAGGGGTGTGTGTGTGTGTGTGTGTGTGAGAGAGAGAGAGAGAGAGAGAGAAAGAGAGAGAGAGGGGGAGAGAGAGAGAGAGAGAGAGAGAGAAAGAGGAGGGGTGTGTGTGTGTGAGAGAGAGAGAGGGGGGAGAGAGAGAGAGGAGGGGGGAGTGTGTGTGTGTGTGTGTGTGTGCGCACACAGAGATGCAGGGAGGGAGGCAAGGGAACATGATGCATGGGAGATAGGGACTGTGGTACTTTGATCACTTGGAGCCACAAGACAATACAGGAAGGACAGCGGCCTTGTGCTTTGTTGATGGCAAAGTTCATGGGAAATGACCCTCTAGCCTGTCCATGCCTCTCCATCTTTCAGGACGGATCTGGAGCCATCTAGCTTGGCCCTCAGGGCCTATGTTTTTGGTATTTTTGTTTGTTTGTTTGTTTGGTTGGTTGGTTTGGTTTTTGAGACAGGGTTTCTTGTAGCCCAGCCCAAGCTGAGAATGACCTTGAATTGCTTATCTTCTTGCCTCCAAGCACTGAGATAATAGGCATGTATCACCATACCTATTTTGACCTGAATTCTACTTAAAAAGCAACCTGGTGCCAGGCAGTGGTGATGCACGCCTTTAATTCCAGCAGCCAGGAGGCAGAGGCAGGTGGATCTCTGTCAGTCCAAGGCCAGCCTGGTCTATAAAGGGAGTTCCAGGACAGCCAGGGCTACACACAGAAACCCTGTCTTGAATACCCTCCCCCCAAAAAAAAAATCAAGAAAAGAAACCTGGGAACATGTATAGTCATCCGCTCCCTATTCCATTCCTCATCCAGCTTTTGCTGATACTGAGCAGACACACAGTCCTTCACAGACAGCCATCTTCCTCTTAGCTCATCTGAACTTTTAAAAAGTGATTTCCTTCTTTTTATCTTATGTGCATTGGTGTTTTGCCTGCATGTATATCTGTGTCAGTGTGTCACATCCCCTGGAACTGGAGTTACAGGTGGTTGTGAGCTGCCATGTGGGTGCTGGGAATTGAACCTGGGTCCTCTGGAAGAGCAGCCAGTGTTGTCTTTGAGTTTTCAACTGGGCATCTAAAAAGAAAAGCAGAACGCTAGAAGGGAGGCCGTCAGTGTTTCCTGAGGCCAGCTTCTTGAGTGACTGTCTTCATACTTGTATTCTACCTACCAAATGCACTGAAGCATCCAGATATACAGGTCCAAGGCAGGCAATTGTCAATATAAGGGAAAGTGACTTAGGGACAGACAGGGTCTGCTCAGCCCTCTCACCCCCGCCTTCCCAGGAGCTGAGTGCATTCCCTCGGGAGGTAGGAGGTTCTGGAGCTGGGTTGCATCCCGTTGTCTACCCCTGCACCGCCTTGCTGCTACTCTGCCTTTTCTCCACCATCATCACCTACATCCTTAACCACAGGTGAGCACTGCTCCAGGGAGGAGGGAGTGTGGGGTGGGGGGCCTCACCCCAGGCTGGCAGATGTTTCTTCTTCAGGCAGGTCCACATGACCTGGCCAGGCTCTGGGGTTGAAGGGCACATTTTGAGGGTGGGGAGGTGGAAGTGGGGGAGATTAAGGACGTCTTTCCCATGGCCTGGAGCACATTTATACACATGCCCATAGATCATTTGCTTTCTCTTTTTTGGCTCTCCCAGTGGTCTTAAGACACTGTAGGGTAGTGTTTTTCAACCACCCTAATGCTGAGACTCTTTAATACAGTTCCCTTAGGTTATGGTGACCCCACCCACCCATAAAATTACTTCATTGCTACTTTATAACTGTACTGATATGAATCATAATGTACATATCTGATATGCAGAATCTTTGATATGTAACCCCTGTGGAAGGGTCATTCAACCCCCAAAGGGGTCTGGACCCACAGGTTGAGAACTACTGCTGTAGGGGGTTGGACAGCTCATTAATAAAGACTCTTTCTGGGGCAGCTCCATCCACGTGTCCCGGAAGGGTTGGCACATGCTGTTGAATCTGTGTTTCCACATGGCCATGACCTCTGCTGTCTTCGTGGGGGGCATCACTCTCACCAACTACCAAATGGTTTGCCAAGCGGTAAGAAGGGGATGGGCCCTCCAAACTGAGTGACTTCAGAGGAAGAGGGGGCAGAGCAAGAGGAATAAGGTTTATGGACATAGCCCTCAGCTCCTCTGTTCTCTGTGCTAGCCTTGTAGGGTTGAAAAGGGGTGATGTGTGGAGTCACAGGAATGGTCAGACTAGCTCCAAAATCACTGGAGATGGAGTTTCAAAGCGGAGAGCGGGGCATCCGGGTGGAGGAGCGGTCATGTGTCAGCCAGACTGCTGTGTCTGGGTCCTGGAGAATCCCTGGGGTGCGAGAGAGCGAGCCCCGGCTGGAAGCAGAGAGGGCACCAGCAGGGACCAGTATGACGAGTACCTGGGTGGGATGCTGGAGACATGGGGAGAGTGGGAACATACACGGCCATTGACGTTCCAGGGTGTAGCCCAGTCAGCAGCTCAGGTCCCAAGCCTCAGTGCCTTGACCTTGTAGGTGGGCATCACTCTGCACTACTCGTCCTTGTCCACGCTGCTCTGGATGGGGGTAAAGGCTCGTGTCCTCCACAAGGAGCTCACCTGGAGGGCACCCCCTCCAGAGGAAGGGGATGCAGCCCCACCTGGTCCTCGCCCCATGCTCCGGTAAGTGCGCTCAGCCCTCGGCTACGGGGAGGGGCCTCAAGACCCAATACAGGTGTAGCAAAGCTGGGGTGTCTGGGGGAGGTGAGTACAAGATCCCTGGAGATCTCTCTCCAAAGGCAAGAGACAAGCTTCTCAGGCGTGACAAGGATAGGGAAAGGGCTTGACACCAAAGGGCGCTGGGTGGGAATCCTAAAAACCTTCGTGACATCCCTCCCTCAGGCTGTTTAAGGTTGGAGAGAACAATTTTGGCTCTTGTCCCTCAGAACAGTTCTTGGCCAAGTTCTGAAGAAGCTGCCCTTCCCTTAGGAGGCCTTACATCCCTGCCCTCCCCCCACCTCCCCAAATCACACAGATTTTTAAGAGGACAGAGGAGATGAGAGAGACATTCAATTCCAGGGCTCCGAGCACCTGGTTCTCTTACGGCCAGCGCTCCATTTCTCTGACCTTCAAACCCCGCCCTCCCCCAGGTTCTATTTGATTGCTGGAGGGATCCCCCTCATAATCTGCGGCATCACCGCTGCGGTCAACATCCACAACTACCGGGACCACAGTCCCTAGTGAGCACCACTGCCTCCTCATCACCATCTGCCTGCCCCAACCTCCACACCAGCCCCCTGCCCGCTGTTCCACCCGGCCAGAGCGCCCCCTGCATGCTAAGCCAGGTCCTGCCTCACCTCTCCTCTTCCCCACAACCTACCTCATCAACCACCCAGCCTGTGCCCCGCCTCCAGGGCTCTCCAAACTCTTCATCCACTATACCTCTGTCTTCCCCCTAGTTGCTGGCTGGTGTGGCGTCCAAGCCTTGGTGCCTTCTACATACCGGTGGCGTTGATCCTGCCCATCACCTGGATCTACTTCTTGTGTGCCGGCCTGCACTTACGGGGTCATATGGCCCAGAATCCTAAGCAGGGTAACAGTAGGCTCTCTCCGGAGCCAGGGGAAGACCTGAGGGGTTCCACCAGGCTCAGGAGCAGTGGCGTCCTCCTGAGTGACTCTGGTTCCCTTTTGGCTACGGTTAGCGCAGGGGTAGGGACGCCTGCGCCCCCAGAGGTTGGTGATGGCGTCTATTCTCCGGGAGTCCAGCTGGGGGCGCTGATGACCACACATTTCCTGTACCTGGCTATGTGGGCCTGTGGCGCCTTGGCCGTGTCTCAGCGCTGGCTGCCCGGAGTGGTGTGTAGCTGTCTCTATGGTGTGGCAGCGTCAGCTCTGGGCCTCTTTGTCTTCACGCACCACTGTGCCAGGCGTAGGGATGTCCGGGCTTCCTGGCGCGCCTGCTGCCCTCCTGCGTCACCCTCGGCCTCCCACGCCCCACCCCGGGCCCTGCCGACGGCTGCGGAGGATGGATCCCCAGTGTTGGGGGAGGGACCAGCCTCCCTCAAGTCCTCCCCAAGTGGCAGCAGTGGCCGCGCGCCGCCGCCCCCGTGCAAACTCACCAATCTGCAGGTAGCCCAGAGTCAGGTGTGCGAGGCCGGCGTGGCTGCCCGCGGGGATGGAGAGCCAGAGCCCACGGGCTCCCGTGGCAGCCTCGCTCCCCGGCACCATAACAACCTGCATCACGGACGCCGAGTACACAAGAGTCGGGCCAAGGGGCACCGAGCCGGAGAGACTGGCGGCAAGAGCCGGCTCAAGGCGCTGCGCGCGGGGCGCGTCCCCGGGAGCTCCCGAGCTGCTGTCCAGTGAGAGCGGCAGCTTGCACAACAGCCCCTCTGACAGCTACCCGGGCAGCAGCCGCAACAGCCCCGGCGACGGCCTCCCACTCGAGGGTGAGCCCATGCTCACGCCGTCCGAGGGCAGCGACACCAGCGCAGCGCCCATCTCCGAGACCGGGCGCCCCGGGCAGCGCCGCTGCGCCAGCCGTGACAACCTCAAGGGCAGCGGCAGCGCACTGGAGCGGGAAAGCAAGCGCCGCTCATACCCGCTCAACACCAGCAGTCTGAACGGCGCCCCCAAGGGGGGCAAGTATGAGGATTCCAGTGTGACCGGTGGTGCAGAGGCCATAGCGGGAGGCTGCATGAAGACCGGCCTCTGGAAGAGCGAGACCACCGTCTAGGGCAGAGGCGGGCCAGATTTCGGATGGGCGGGCCACACCGGCTTGTTAACTCGCAGGTCCTCCTGGGCGGTCCAAGCTGTCTACCGATGTGTAGGTTTGAGGTGGCCGTGCTGATGACTGCCCCTGGGCTCACCATCTTTAGTTACCCGGGCTGGGGAAGGGAGAGGCAGATGCTTGCCGGTTGTCTGGTGGACTATCCCTCAGCAGTAGCGACAGACAGTCCCAGACATCAGCTTAGACCAGTTTTGATGGTCAAAAGTTTTTGGTGTGCCCTCCCAGGTAGGGGGTAAAAGTTCCGTCGGTCTGTGGGGTGACCCACAAACGGAGTGGAAAAGCACAGCCCAGGTAGGCTCAGGAAACCTGGGAACTGCTTTTTCCTCACCAGCCTCAGGAGGCACCGTGTGACTGCTAAGATCCCAGGCCTCTTGCCCAGTTTTGGCCTGGGAAACCGCCCTAGCAGGTGAGCCAGGTGCCCTGCCGGGGAAATAACAGGTGCTGCCTTTTCAGATCAACTATGCAAGGGGGAGGGGACAGTGTGTAGGCAACTCTAGAGGTCAGCTAAGTCCCGTGGGAGGGGGGCAGGTGGGAGAGAGAGGTGCACAGTTAGGGAGACATGATCCCTAGGGGGTGGTACACAAGTCTTCCAGAACAAAACCTGAACACCTGAGAAAGCGATGCGGCCAGGTGCCTAAAGACTCAAGGGGAGGGAGCTGCTGTTTGGATCCGGGCACCACCTGTACCATGGTCTGAAGAGTGGTTCCACTTAGCTGCTCAATTACAATACCCACTGCCTGCTCTCAGCTGTCCATCTCCAAGGGACTGAGGAAAAATGCCTCCATGAGGCTTTCTGTGGCCAAGCCATGGTAATAATCCAATTTCTAACTCCAGTTAGAAACCTAAAATGCCAAACCATCTCCCAACTCACTGAAACCCAACCAGACTCGGAGGCAGTACCTGGGTCCTGGTTGCCCAACAGTCTGCTTTCACTACACACTAAAAACCCCAGCAACCATTTCCCCCCAACTTAAAATGCCTTCAACTACAGAACCACATGGAAGGAGAGGAATCCTTGGGAATTGTGAAGCAGTAGGGACCCCAGGTCTGGTCAGGTGAGAGAACGCAGTGGGGGAGAGGCCACACTCCTTGAGATGGGTCCCATTATTTATGCTTGCTGCACAGACAATATTAGAGGCGACGCTTTGTATTACTCTACCACACATGCTGGCTGCTGTTTACATACCCTGCCAATGCCTTAGCACTGGAGAGCTTTTTGCAATATGCCGGGGAGGGGGGGAGGGAGGGACGGACGGACGACGAAGTGCCAAAGAAAACCTGTTTTAAAAGTTCTGGTTTTATACAACAGAATGTTTTCTAGCAGATGCCTCTCTGTTTTAATATATTAAAATCTTGCAAAGCCCTTTGAGCGACAGCTGTAGTCCACCCATGGTCCTTTTGTTAATGATGTAGCGGAGCTGACGAAAGCGTAAGACCATTAGAACCTAACTGAACCTGGGCCAGGAGGCGCTGCTCCTGCTCATGTGACGGTTGACACCATGAGGAATGCCAGCTCTTTAACAACAGCAATGTTTACTTCACACTGAGGCAGAAGAGAGCTGGGCAGATCTTCAGCAGTCTTAGGAGGAATCCATCCCAGATTGGAGATGGCCAACTTGCCCGCCTGCACCAAGGACAGGATTTCCCACCCATAGACATCCCACACGCCTCCCAACTTCTCTAGGACGTTGGGTCCAATTAACTGCTACTCTTGGTTCCTTTAAAGGAATATCCCAAGGGTCATATACATTTACTTCTGGCAACAGGACAGGCCTATTAGCAAACCGTAGTCAGAATTCTTGAATACACCTTGAAGAATGTGCATCAGTGGGGGTTAGGGACACTCAGGGCTCCCTGGCTAGCAGCTTGGGCTCTCTCAAAGTCTCTGACTTCCTGAGGGGTGCGCAAATATTGCTCGATTTCACTGTCAGAAATGTCCTCATCTCCAGTCACTACAGAAACAGAGGGCGTGGGATGGGTCCGTTTGGGAGGCTTCAACATACAGGGTGGGAGGAGAGGCGGGGGACTGGCAGGGCGTTTCCTCTTGGGCAAATCGCAGGTACCATCCCCCGCCTCCTCTTGCTGTGCCTGCCCCCGCTGCTCTTGCTCGTGGGTCTCCACTTCCGCTGGTCCATCTCGAAAAGCCATGCGGATCAGCATGTGGCGGTGCTGGAGAAGGTCACCGATGTGTTTCACCACAGTCCGCTTATCCAGCTTCAGCACCTGCAGCCAGGCCAGCTGGCTGGCCATCCGAAGCAGCACAGCCAGGAGCTCCTGCAGACGAGAGGCAGCCGGGTAGGGCAGATCCACATTTGCCAACTTACAAAACTGGGCAAGAGAACATGTCAGTCGGCCCGAGGGCCGCAGAGACTGCCACGCCAGGAAGGTGGCTGCAGTGATGATAGGCAAGGGGTGCCGCCCAGTCACGAGCCATGTCTCATTTGCCAGCTCCACCAGGAGCAAGGTTCGAGACAGCATCTTGTCTTTGTCCTCCACATACTTGGCTGGCATGGATGGGGAAGCCTGGAACAGTTTGAAGCTGAAACAACCAGAAGGAAGGTCAGGTGAATGACGGGTGTTCTTCCAGGGCGAGAGGGGCAGTCTACCCAAGGTGGATGGGGAAGCTGTTTTGTCCTAGAGACGGTCAAGATCACTGGGGAGAGAGGTACTGAGAAAGTTGGGTGGGAAATGTGCCAGGTGAAGGGCGCTAACATAGCTGAGCACCTTCCTAGGGCACAATTCCAATGTCCTCATTTACTCCATAGAATGTGTACCATTACACAGAAAGTGTACCATTATATAGAAAGTATACCATTATACAGAAAGTGTACCATTATATAGAAAGTGTACTATTATACAGAAAGTGTACCATTATATGCATCTACTTGGGATATGACCAAGTTTCAACCATTACTGTTTGGGGTTGGTTGGTTTGGTTTTTTTTAACATAGGGTCTCATCATGAAGTCCAGGCTGGTCTAGAACTCCAGATAACTCTTGCTTCAGCCACCCAAGTGCTGGGATTAAGGATATGTGCTACCATACTTGGTCAGCCATTTTGTGGTTTGGTTTTGTTTTAAAGTATACTTGTTAGGCCAGCCTGGGCTGTGGGAGACTGTCTAAAACCAAACAGCTAAGAATCTCACTAAAATCTCAGGTTCGAACCTTGTTCTAACATTGACTAGCATCTTTGGACTTGATATAGAGGTGACCCTGCCACTACATACAGTGACACATGGCCCCAGCCACGTAAATCGAATGATCTCCATTCGTAAAGCAGGAGTCGGCAACTCAGTAGCCCTATGCCAAGGCTGGCTAAGGATTTTTTTAAAAAACATTATCCCAATCCTGTGATGGAAAGGAGATTGGAAGATTACAGCGTTCTGGAAATGTACAAATGGTACTGATCTCAGTGGTAAGCGTGAAATGGGAAGGAAAGACCCCCACCCCCTTTGAGACAGGCTCTGGTGAAGGCATGCATCCGCCAGGGCACCTCCTACCCAGCCTTTCCCCCTAGACAAACAAGTACCTGCTGCAGTAGGACTTCACCAGGTCTGCCAGGCACAGAGACGGCACATCCAGCCCCAAAAGCTTCACGATCTGCATGTAGGTGCCGGAAAACATATCCAGATCTGCGTACAATAGGGTGCAGATGGTTCCCATGGTGAGGGGCCAGTTATGTTGCCGGCAGGTGATTAGAACACAGCATCCGACTAACACTTCCTTCTTCTGTAGCCTAGCAGCGCGGATGCCAGACAGCTTATAGGCCTTTTGATAGTAGGAGACTGCTGTATCCTCGAACGTTGGGGGCAACTTCAGAATCCGGCACAGGTCTCTCACCCGACGGAGGTCTAGGAAAACACACAGCAAGCAGAGAGACCAGCTAGGACTTAATTTAGTTCTGTTAAACTGGCCATATATAGCAGATGCATAAATAATACGCCCTTCTGTACTAACAGAACACTTGATGTGGCCATGTGTTTTATGGTGCTGGAGCTAGACTCGAGATCCTCAAGCATGCTCTTTATCCCTGAGTTGCAGTTGTAGCCCTTTAGAACTATGGTCCATTCCAAGGTAGAGAACATTTGTGGAAAGGTCACATTCAATCCACCACCTTCTATGAGTTAATTTGACTTATGGACAGGGCAAAGTTTCTCTCTCTCTCTCTTTTTGGTACTGGGGATTGAACTCCAAGCCTTACATATGATAGGTGCATACTCTATTACCAACCTACACCCCTAGCTCCAAAGTCAAGCTTTACCCAGGCTCCCTGAGGCTACGTTAAGCCCTGTGTGGACCCAAAGCTTCATCTACCGCTATTCCTTTTGGTTTTTAAGACACACGATGTAGCTGGGCTGACCTCCAAGCCTATCCTCCTGCCTCACCTCCTGAGTGCTGGGACTGTAGGCCTACACCACATCAGCAATTGCTCTCTTCTAGCCTATCTTAGATCAGTAACGCCGAAAACAAGAACACACACAGACGGACTCAGACATCAAGACAATTTTCCTTAAAGCCACTGTATCATAAAAAGTTGATTTTCTGGGCTGGAGAGATGGCGCAGCAGTTAAGAGCACTTGCCGCTCTAGCAGAGGACCTGGGGTTCAGTTCCCAGCACCCACCTGGCAGTTCACAACCACCTATAACTCCAGTTCCATGTGATCCAACACACTCTTCTGACTCGATGGGCACCAGGCATGCACATGGTGCACATACATACATGCAATTAGAACACTCATATGCCAGGCGGTGGTGGTGAATGCCTTTAATCCCAGCACTCAAGAGGCAGAGGCAGGCGGATCTCTGAGTTTGAGGCCAGCCTGGGCTACAGAGTGAGTTCCAGGACAGGTTCCAAAGCTACACAGAGAAACCCTGTCTCAAAAAACCAAACCAAACCAAAAATAACCAAAAAAAACCACCCATACAAATATTAAAAGCAAACATTAAAGAATCATGTAAATAAAAGCAAAGCTGAAATTTAAGGAAAAAGGTTGCTTCTCACCTCGTTGCTGGCTGCGGCTAACTTGTTCATTTTCCCCTGTGCTTCGAGAATATGTCACTTCTGTAAAATAACAAATAATAACAAATAGCACAGCTGGCCTCCATTCATTCATCCATTTCCCTGCCCCCTGACCACATCAGACCAGGGAGATTGCAAATTATTATGTATCTACTTCCCATCTCAGAGAGGATACCCATCCATGTAAAAGTAAAGGCTCATCTGGCTGTTTATGTCTTCAGTAGCACCAAATCCAGAGACAGTCGGTACAGAACTATATAAAGCAGCGCTGGTGATTCCAATTTTCCAAGTTATTTCTCTGGTACATTCCATTTCGAGGGCTGCACTAGTCAAGGACTATTCCAGTGGTTCCCAACCTCCTAATGCCATGACCCTTTTAGTACAGTTCCTCATATTGTAGTGACCCCTAACCCTAAAGTTAGTTTCGTTGCTACGTCATAACTGTAATTTTGCTAGTTTTATGAATTATAATGTAAAGAGCTGATATGCAGGATGGTCTTGGGCTACAAGACCCGTGAAAGGGGTCGTTCGAGCTCCCAAGAGGGTCGAGACCCATAGGTTGAGAACTACTAAGCAATGGCGTGGAAGGAAAGGAGGAGCATTTTGCTAATTGGTGCTACAAACTGCTATGGGGTAATGGTTCCTGTTGTATTTCCAAATAATTTACCGGCCAGCCTTCAACACTGATTAGGTGCTGAATGAGATTGTTGAATAAGATGAGTGAAACCTTTCCCGTCTCATTCATCCACAATCCAGTATACCCACTAAACGCCAGACACCATAGTAGGTATTGAGGAACACAGATGACTAGCACCCTCCTCCAGCTAATTTACTTGGAGCGAGCTTCTCCCACATTTAACTGTGCACATGACCAAAAAAAAAAAAAAAAAAAAGAAAGAAAAAAAAGGGGGGGGCGCGGGGTGGGGGAGGGAGCTAGGAATGTGGGTTTAAGCACTCCACCGCCCCAGGCTCTCCCCAGGGCCCCAGGACAGGTACCAGTACCTCTGAGGTTGCCCTCGTCGCTGAAGGTGGTCGTAAGGACCCCTTCGGTGACCACACAGCCGCAGTCGGAGCACACCAGCTGGCTCTGAGAATAATGCGAGTCTTCCACGAGCTCAGAGGAGCCGCAGTCCGGGCAGCGGCTGCCGCTCGGCATCTCACCATTGGTCACGGACCCCGGGGACACCCACCCCTAAGAACGTATAACTAACTGCCCCGCTGCAGAAAAGTGGAGGGACCCTTATTCCGACTGCACCTTCCTCTTCCGGTCAGCTGGACAACCGACTAGTGGTTGGCTCCGCCCCGTGGCGGCACGCCCCTTCCGATCTCGTTTGTGGACCCGGGTAGACACATGAG